GGAGATAATTTCCTATGAATTAATTTTCCTGTGAAATTATTCTGCCAATAAAATAACTATTTTATTCCATATAGAATGCTTGTCTTGACATTTTAGTGGTTAAAAGTTTTAAATCATTTTATAAAATGTGTTACAGTCATAACTTATAATCGGTCAATATCACTTTTGACTGATTTTCCCAGTCAAAGCAAACAATCAATCAAAAGTGGTTTCGCCTGATTTCAAATTTTACCAATCAGTCGAAATTCATATAAGTTACAATTAGCGAAAATTACTAGGAATTCAATAATATTCCCACTACCCAAAGGGACAAAGGTTTAAATAGTGACATGAGTAACTATATTGTAAACCACGCATTCATATTTCATCAATTCGCGTTCAAAGGGACAAATAATTTTGTAGGAATGCGTCTGTCCGTGCCACCCTATTCTGCATTTAACGTTTCGACGAATATCGTTACAAATGTATTCGTCGAATGTTAATTAACGAATATCGGTATTCGGTATATTGGAATGCGCGTTGATGAGATTTCATGTCGACTGTGGTCTGTGGTTTACTCCGAAAAACGTTATCCGAAGTTTAGAATGTTGCCATCCCTCTCACACAAAGCGAGATGCCAGCATGAGCGACAGGGACAGGTAGATACGAAACTACGTAAAGTGTAGCTACGATTCGGAGTAGCACTGCTGGCTTTTATTCGTAATCTGATTCAGATTCTACCTTTGTCAATTAACGATATATTTGTCACGGAATTTGTATTTAGTATTAATTTAGCGTTTGAAACGGTAGAGCGAGTGGACATTTGGCGTGAGTAGTGTTTTTAGACACACCAGGGCTGTCTTTAATGTACTAGGGGCCCTGGGCGCAAGGATTGCTTCTTCTCAGCACTTGCCAAATGTTCGTCTCGAAGCGCAGGTAGGGTAAAAAGATTATGAGACATGTAGAGGCTCCTAAGAGCAAAATATTTGATGATTTGTAAGAACTATTTAATTAGAAGTAAAAATAATTTGATTTTGGATCAAAATTGTAGAGCTTTTTAGCTAGACTTTCTAACTATTCAGAGTATTCTAGTTCGTTTCAGACTAAGGGAAAAACATTTTGATAGTTTTTTACTTTTTATTTACTTATAAGTGCCAATTTTTGCAATAAAAATTCATAGTCTGATATATGTTGTTGACTGTACTAACATAGACTACGTAGACGTATTCAGCTAGCTCACAGCCAGCCCGGGATTCCCCGGGAAGTCTGGCGCCGAGCTCTCCCGGACGCGTCCGAGCGCTGCCGAAAGCGTCCGGATTTTAAAAGAAGCGGCAAACAAAGGAAATTGGTAATTACGTTGGTGCTTTCCATGAAAAAGGGGTGGATGTTTGAATTTAATTACATACTTATTGGTTTGTGCGTGTAGGTGAATACGTCGATGTATTTCCATACAAAACTCGTCTTCAGTCTCCTCCATTCAGCTTCTATCGCAAGAGCAATATTTCACTTTATTATGAGAGCCATCTGCGCTTACCTATTGCCCGGTGAGCTGAGAAAGCCGCTCACGGCTATCAACTGTCACGAGGGCTTAGTGTGAGTTCACATCAAACGTCGTCACTGGTGAGCGCGTAAAAAATGTCATTAAATGTATGACGGATTGTACAGCGCTCCTAGCGGAAACTTTCAAGAACTAAAATTTTCATATTTTTAACGCGCTCACTAGTGAGAACTTTTGATGTAAACTCACAAAGCCCTCAGTCCGAAAAAAGTCAGTTCACTAATCACTGTAATGTACCAAATCAACCTGTTTGTATTATTATTATAAAGAGCTGTGGTTTTCTGAATAAAGAAAAATAAAAATAAAATAAAATAAAATCAAAACTAATATTTTATTTAGTACATAATTGCCGCCCAAGTATTTTTCAAGTAAAACCGCTTCGCTGTTTCAAGTGTACGAGTGGGTTTAGGATCGCACGCACACGTGGTGAGAGGTCGGCGGATTGATCTTATGATCCGCGAGATCCGATCCGATGACGGATCTGTCGACTTATAAATATACTTAAGTGATAATAAATAGTACGTCATTTTAAACAACTGTAGTCTAATGTGCATCAGCATAATTTTCGTAATTAATAATATGATACGAATGAATGAATGATAATATGATTTATGTTGAAGACGATGTTAATTAATAATTTTACTAGTTGTCATTTAAAAATTAAGAATGTTACGGTTCTGCGTCATTTATTTGGAAAGTGATTTTTCCTAAGATGTCCCTTTTGTTACCGGACTATTCCCACCTCTCTTACCCACCGCTGCAACTCCCATGTAGCCAGGATCTACAGCTTGACCGCCAATAAAACCCAACCAGTGAAGGTCAAGTTTGTCCCGGGGGAAAGTTAAACTGTCATTGGACCCGCAACGAAATTAATCAGAAGAACATAGGTCCTTTTATTTTATTGATTAGTTAACGTTTTCTGTGCGGCGCGGCGGCCTTCGCAGAGATTGCGGCGCGACTTGACTGATTGTACACTTCGGGCTTGCCCAAGTGACGTCACGTCACGCGAGGCTGGTTATGTTCTGAACAAACTATGGATGAAGCACAGCTTTTAACGCGACTCAACTCTACGAAATGACACACAGAGCTTGCACCAGGCAGTCGTCTAGCAGTCAAAGTCAAAAATTACGCTAATAAATAAAAATTAAAATTGAAAAGGAGGATGACAACAATAGTGACTGAGTTTCTTGCGCTGCTTCTTCTCAGCACTGGCCCATTTATTGTCCCAAAGCAGTGGTTGGGTTAATACTAGGACGTGTAAACGTGCTTTTTAAAAGCCTATTTGCAAAAATAAATGATTTTTAATAGCTCGACACAAGATAAATGCGGCGGATCTAATCCGCCCAACATTATTCTCGTGTGTGCCCGCCGTCTGGCGATCCTATTACGCAGCGCAGGCACCGTCAGCTGTGCGACGGCCTTCGCAGCGAATGCGGCGCGACTTGAATGATTGTACACTCGGGCTTGCCCGAGTGACGTCACACTTGGACAACTATAGATTATATTATGAAACAGCTCTTAAACTCTTAGAACGGCGATAAGTGCCCTGAAAAGAGCCATAAAGAATTATAGTTTGAGAACTTGTATCATCAGTCGATCAACAGTCCTATGGTAACAAAGTCAAACCCGTTTTAACTTTAAATCTATGAGAGAGAACCATTTCATACTGGCGAGAACGATTTTGAATCAATATCGTTGACTCATGAATGATGATTTCTCGTCTCTATTTTTACAGGTGGCCTAGACAAATTTACAAACGTCACAGTTCTTTTTTGTGTTGGATAGGTAGGAAGGTTTTAGGCTATATAACATCACCCTACGACCAATAGGGGCGGATCAGTGAAGAAAAATATTGTAAAACAGAAAATATTCAAATAATTTTCACGTGTACGAAGTTGCCGTCACAACTAGTGTAATATAATAAAATACAAGCTATTTCCCTACCAACACACGAAAGTTTCATCGTATTTGTGGTATTGTATATTGGATACATCGCAATAAGCAACTGCAAATCACTTTACATGACACAGAAACTGTATTTTGCAATAATACGGTTGGAGCGATACAGAAACGCTTGCAACGGCACTTACAATAAAATTACAATAACATGATATTCCAATATGATGCGTGGGGAGTGAGAAGTCTGACTTTATTATGAACGACTGGAAATGGAACTTTTCTTTATTTAATACTAGCTCCGCCCGCGGCTTAGCCCGCTTGCAATTTGGTCTGTCACCGAAAAACGTTATCGCGCGCGACCCGGATTCAAAAACCGGGATAAAAACTATTCTATGTCCTTTGTCGGGACTCAAACTATCTCTATGCCAAATTTCATCAAAATCGGTTCAGTGGTTTAGGCGTGAAAGACAGACAGAGTTACTTTAGCATTTATAATATTTATTATAGTATAGAAGTGTAAATGGAGTATCAATATCATCCATAAAACTCATTTTATTTTTGCAAGTAGGCTTTTAAAAAGCACTTACACGTTACACGTCCCTGTATTAACCCTAGTGTGCTTGATATTATTCGGTGCCTCGACTTTCGACTGGCGCGGCAGCCACATAAAAGCCTAACAAAAGCCGGACAGGCCGGACGAGAGAATATTTGGCCGGACAAGTCCGTAAAAAGCCAAACATGTTCGGCTAAAGCCGGACACCTGGCATGGCAACCCTAAAAAATTCCAATACAAATGTTTTGTTCTCTGATGTTGATGTGACTTTGTTCTTTTGCTAGCCATTTAATCAAAAGTACCATGGCGCACAAGTGCCGACGACACAAAAATAAATAACAGGAAACACGCAGAATGGAATCTTCCTAATTACGGCGATAATTCACGTGGCCATATTGTTCTACATTTCGTATTTATGGTGTGACGTCATGGTTTTATTTATTTATCTTTTATTTACAACCAGACAAGATTTCGAATTTATTACTCGTTGAAATTATCACATTTGTCGCATGTAAATTCAATTGTTTTTGCCTAATTTTTAAGTGACCCCTGTAAAAACAAAATATATGTTATGTGTTACCATAGGGTCACTTAAAAATTAGGGATTGAAGGTGAAAACGGGCATAAATCTAATAATTTTTATAAAACAGAGACAGAAAGAGGGTTAATTGTTGTTTTTTTTTTAAGAATTTACTGTAGCATAATTTCGCTTGAAAATAACAACCAGGGCAAGACGCGTGAAAACCCCGGATTTTGGAGCCCAGACCCCGGATATGTGAACAGGGTTTTTATAAAACTTAGTCGCATTGCATTTCCCCAAGACTTAAGGTTTTTATACACACACAACAAATAAAACCCTGCCCGGATGCCCTCTAAACTAGGACAAATCCGGGAAACCCTGACGGATGGCAACCCTACTTGAATAGGACCAAAATTCAGAAACTTTGTTCACAATCCTACCTCTAATTACACATTTACTATGTTTTAACAGTGTAAATACGTTTGTTACAGCTCTATGGGAAGAACAAGAGGCGCCGGAGTACGACATCGACTCGGAGGACGAGAGGTGGCTCAAACAACAAAGGCACGCGGAACTGACAGGTAAAATATAAACCATCATCATCATCATCACAGGACGTCCACTGAACATAGGTCTCCCCCAATGATTTCCATATGAACAACCCGCTTTGGAACCCGCGTCTTGAAACCTGCTTACGGGCTTACTAGTCTACGGAATCCTCGAAAAAGCAGTAGAACTAAAACACATATGTTCTATTGTACAACATGCAATGGCAATCAACACTTGACATTGGCAGAAATAAACCTAACAGAGGAGGTTTGGTTCATCATCATCATCATTTCAGCCATAGGATGTCCACTGCTGAACATAGGGCTCCCCCAATGATTTCCATATTGGGCGGTGGGCTGCATCCAGCGCCTTCCTACCTTTGTGAGGTCGTCTATCCACTTTGTAGGTGGACGTCCACGCTGCGCTTTTTGGAACGTGGCCTACACTCCAAAATCGCCGTCAGTTCTGCGTACTTTGTGCCCTGCTCAAAAGATTCTGTACCATCATGTAAATAAGGTTTAACCCCACACCATTGGCGTATCTTTTTCAGGGGGGGAGGGTTATTTTTCAGGGGTGGCTTGCCCCTGACATGCCTTGTTGCGGGCGGTGCGATTAGTATCATAGCTGATGAGTTAGTAGTATTATCAACTCATCTTCTAATCGATAGCCCAATATCCTGGGGCACCAGACCATTCTTTGGCACGGCGACTCCCCCGCTACATACGCGCAAGCACCACTCCTCCGAATGTATCAATAAGGAATTCCTTGAAACGATCTCAGAATTATGTTGTACTTACTTTTACGTAGCTCTAAGATCCTTGGAACAATATTCTTATAAGTAATATTCTTTTTACAGAATGGAAGTTCGAACAGATGATGGACAAGCTGGAGAAGAGCTCCGGTCAGACCGTGGTGACACTAAACGAGGCCAAACTGCTTCTGGAGAGGCACGACGACCTCGTCACCGCGGTCTACGACTACTGGCTCAACAAACGGCTGAACACAGTGAGTATTTGCACTGGGCTATGTAGATGATCCGGGAGTCCACGCCTCCATGACAAATGGCATTATGGCTGGTTTTAGTGTCACGCGGACCGTCCGGTGCGGACCCGCTCCGCACGGCCAATCTGTATGAACTTCTAGGGAGCGTTTCAAAGTAATGCGGTCTGGAGGAACCGCTCCGCTCACTAACAGTTCATACAAAACGGCTGTGCGGAGCGATCCGCACTGACAGTCCGCGTGACTCTAAAACCAGCCTATATCGCTGCGAAAATCGAATCTGTTCACGGAGCCAAACACGGATTTGACTGTCACGTTTTGCCACTTGTCTAGGCTGTCTAGACTGGTGTTTTGGTTGTATCTTGATGATGAGCAACACATAATCTAAATCTGATTCTTATTATGAATCATCATCATCATCTCAGCCATAGGATGTCCACTGCTGAATATAGGTCTCCCCCAATGCTTTCCATGTTTCCTGATTGGTAACGGTATTATTATCGAAATAAAGAAAATCGCGCGTAGATTCGTGCCTGCTGGACCAATAAATTTTTCAATAAATTGGACCATTTTTACATACTTCTTGGTAGAACCTAATTTTCCTAATACGAGCTCTTATGACGTTTAAATCATGCTATGCTGATAGAGCAGTTACACTATGCGAGAAATTCATCGAACATACGCGCGGCACCCACACCGAAGTATGGGAGACGCACGCCGGCGAAACTAACTAAAGCGCGTGTTTACACATGTCTTGATCAATTTCCCGCATGGTGTAACTGCGCCTTGAAAAAGGATTATGGAATTATACCAAGGAATTAATATCGCCATTATTGTCCCAGCAACACCCCCTCATTCTGTCGGTGAAGACGGAGAACCGGCCGGGCCAGTCCTCGCACAATCCGTACCTCGCGTTCAGGCGGCGGACGGAGAAGATGCAGACCAGGAAGAACAGGTGATAATAGAATTTAGAGAATAAAAAACGTAATTTGGCACACAAGGTTTCAAATAGTTTGTTTCAAGTTGCTGCTACTGCTGGACAGATACCTCCTCACAGATTTTCACAACGATCGGTCTTGGGACATCCGCGAACTTCACCAGTCTGAGTGGACGATATCAAATGGTAAAGCCCGGTCCGTGAGCACGTAGAATTTTGTCCAATGACCCCTAGCTACCCATCCTTATCGCTCGCGCGTAATTATATTGCTGTCGCGACTGTGCGACTGGCACCCGCAGTGAGTGTGCGAGCGTGATAGCAACATAATTACGCGCGAGCGATAAGGATGGGTAGCTAGGGGTCATTAGACAAAATTCTACGTGCTCACGGACCAGACTATAGATGTATGCAAAATACAGTATAGAAAAAGGTCCCCGAAGAATTAGTCGTGATAATGTGTGCCACGACGCTGAAATATTATCTGCAGGAACCATTGCGGTTAAGACAGCAAATGTAAATAACCGCCTCTGTGGTCTAGTGGTAAGACCACCTGCTTCAGACGCAGAGGTCCCGGGTTCGATTCCCAGTGGGGGCAGATTTTTCTGTTCGGTTTGGTTGGTGGTAGGGCTTGTTCTAAGTCCGCCTGGCTAGCTACCACCATCTTACCTAAGTCTGTCGCCATAACAACAATGTTAACAGCATTGTTGTGTTCCGGCAGTTAGAGGTAAGATAGCCAGTTCCTCCGTGGTTGATGGTTCCGGGTGAAGCTCGCTTCCACCTTCGGCATGATCGTCACTTACCATCAGGTGAGATACAGGCCAAGAGCTTCCTCGTTGTGGATAAAAAAAAAAAAAAGCAGTTTTCATGCTATGACACTACATATCTCTGCCTTTTGTTTCTGCCACTGCAACTCCTGAGTGGTCTTGTAAAACCTGACCATTTAGTTATCAACAATGAGAAACCAAATGAATGTTAGATGCTCTCAAATAGCCGAAGGTGGCAGTGAGAATCACCTTCAAGCCTAATAGAGAGACTGGCTCTTCTTACCATGTGATCTAACCTTTATAAAACTTAACAATTCATTTCCAGGAAAAACGACGAGAGTTCGTACGAGAAGATGCTGAAACTCCGTCGGGACTTGGCGCGGGCGCTAACACTCCTGGAACTGGTCGCGAGGCGGGAGACCGCCAAGCGAGAGCTGGTCAAGCTCACGGCATCCTTGGCGGAGCGACGGTATGCGGCTGGTGACTTCGCGAACCAACTGCTGCCTGACCCACCGCCTAGGTATGGGAAATATCTAGACTTTAGTGTAGTTTTCCAGGAAATATTGCTGGATCCAGGTAGTCAGAAGTATTTTCTGTCATATGGGAGGATAAAATAGCTAAAATAGTTGTGGATTGTCAAGATGCAAAAGGATTAAAAAGACCCCAGTAAATTCTGGAGATTCGTCTCTCAGTCATTATGGTAGAGCGATGGTATACAGCGGTTAACTTCGCGAAACAACTGCTGACTGCTCGCCTTGGTAATTTGGTATATACGAAGTAAATCCGGCTCGAAGGACCAATGTTAGGGTAGCCGAATATCCAATTTTAAGTCAACTCGCGGCTCCGAATTAAGTTCAAATGCACCCACAATTCACAACTACTCACATTTCTAGGCCGGCGTATCCCACCGTTCCGCTGACGACGTCATCGTTTCGTGCGTACAGCGCACCCCACTACCCCCCGCGGGCGCCGCCCACTCCCCAAGATCTGCCGAGACAGGTGAGATATCACACACACACATTGTACGCTACACATTGTCATATACACACAACATGCACACACTTCATGGGTTAACATGTTTTTTCAAATTCAAATGGCAATGCCAGATTTTGTATGGAAGGTGGCGTCTTTTTTTTTTTCGCGCGGCCATCGACCAAACTTTGTTTTTTGATTACAAAATTGTGTAATAAATCAAACTTACTATGACACGTATACCTCTAAACTCAGTCTGAACTGAGTTACGAGCGTTAGAAGTTTGATGATTTACATACTAGATTTGCTTTTTGCGCGCAAGTTTTGTAAGAAATTGCAACAAAATATTGCGCTATTTTTTATTGCGCTGATTCTACTCTACACTGATGTCTGGAGCCTTTAATGGATGGTATTGTTTGTTTATACATACAATGTCACTATTTTGTTGCAATTTCTTACAAAACTAGCGCGCAAAAAGCAAATCTAGTATGTAAATCATCAAACTTCTAACGCTCGTAACTCAGTTCAGACTGAGTTTAGAGGTATACATGTCATAGTAAGTTTGGTTTATTTTACTATTTTGTATCCAAAAAACATGGTTTGGTCGATGGCCGCGCGAAAAAAAAAGACGCCAATTTCCGGCATTGTCTTTTTTTATTGCATACTAGCTGACCCCGCGAACTTTGTTCCGCCTTAATGGCAATAAATAAGCAGACTTTTTTTTTTATTTCGAACGGGATAAAAAGTATCCTATGTCCTTCTCCTGGCTCTAAACTACCTCCCTGACAATTTTCAGCTAAATCGGTTCAGCCGTTCTTGAGTTATAACTTAAGTGGAGTAACTAACACGACTATCTTTTATAATAGATTAAGTGTTTACAATGAGGGTTGTCGCGTATGAAAGATCCGCTAGATGGCGGGACGTGGATGTGGGGTCTGACTGCTGCGTGCTTGGTGGATTTTGACATATCTGTCAATGTCATGTCAAAAATAACCAATCATGCAGCATTTGGACCTTGCGTCTACGTATTGCCATCTGGCTGATTTTTCATAAGCGAAAACCCTCATTGGGTCTTAATCTTTTTGATAGTTTTTTGTTCTTTTCGATACCATATGCGTGGGAATTGGATGCAAAATGTACCAAAAAGTCTGCATTCAAATCGCGTTTATCGCAGCTGAGCATTATTATGATTTTTCCATCGATTTTGAATGTTACTTTGTAGCCTTAAAGTTCAAGTCTATTGGGGAAATGAAAACTCCAACATTAAAAACCTTTTTTTTCGTGGATAAATTCGGGATATTTTTTCTCAATTTGAGGTAAAAGATAAATTAATTTCAATTTTTGTGCATAATTTGTGCTATTCTTATGCGTAAGCTTCAAAATTTTCAAGTTTTATCAAAATTCGTCCAGTATTTTCTGCGCGAAGAAGCAAAAATCCATTCCATTCCGCACTTTATTTCTTATACTAAAGACTATTCTGGTTTCATTCCTTACATTTTAGACCAATTTTGACAGTTTTCTAATTTCCTACCCTTCTTTACTCGCTTTGGAAACTTCAATGCATTTTCCAATAAGGTCCGTCGTTATGCTTATCATCATCAACAACATTCTGAACACACAGTCATTGCATTTTTATTATGTATATTGTATAGCTTCCGCTCGCAAGATCACAAAATAAATGCCACAAAGTAAGATATTTTTATTTATACAATCATTATTTTATTTTTAGTTTGTAAACACATCTACAGTTTTGTATTTAACGTGATCATTATTTATAATGACTATATTTTAAATAACATTTACTTCAACTGTCAACAGAATGATCTAGTCATTATAAAAAATGTTCATGTTGATTGTTTTGCGAAAGATTTACCATATAAGAAAATTGTGTCCATAAATGAATCTAAAAAACAACATCAGCAAACGGTCAGTTGAAATATCAATATCGGTTTGTGACAAGTGTGACGCTACTTAAAGATAAGTACTATACTATATCATGGTGTGACAAGACAATAAAACTCATAAAAATGTCATAAAACTCATTTATTTTGCAAATAGGCTTTTAAAAAGCTGTTTTGGGACACAATAAATGGGCCAGTGCTGAGCAAGAAACTCAGTCTTTATTGAGTTTCTATAATATTATTATGTCAAATACTTTAGCTCCATTTGATTATGATTTATTTATACTACCAATCTGATCATGGCTCCATCGAGGGGCTTTATTAGATGTCCCCTTATCTTTTGGACTCTACCAGTTGTGCTAAGAGGAGGACACCGAAATAAACTTGAGTCACCACTAAACACCTATCGGCCTAAGCCACTGTGTCTTAAATCGACCAATAACTTCTCATCTTTCTTGTTGGTAATAACTTCAAACTCCTATGTTCTTCTGATTAATTTCGTTGCGGGTCCAATGACAGTTTAACTTTTCCCGGGAGGAACTTGACCTTCGTTGGTTGGGTTTTTGTTGGCGGTCAAGCTGTAGATCCTGGCTACACAAGAGTAGCAGCGGTGGGAATAATCCCGTTTTTTACCAACAAAATTACCTAATTTACCTAAACCATGAAGGGCCAAAGAGCTGAAATAACAAAATGTTATGGATGACATTACGTAGACGTACTCTCATAGCATAGTTCATTGTGGAAAACCTTGGGGGAGGCCTTTGTCCAGCAGTGGACGTCATTTGGCTGAAAACGAACTCTCATAGCGCTCACACTCGTCACCAAACCACTGATATCGAAACCAAAACTGCCGTATACCAAACAACACCTATAATTCCAAAAACATAAAATTATAAAGGCCCAGTATTATGTAGGTGTTTGGTTGCCTTACAGCGCGAGAAGCGATCGTACAAGAAACGGAAACCACGACACCCCGCCGTCGGCACCGTGCCGGGGCTGCGAGGTGAGTGCACATTCCGTTCCCAGCGTGGGCGTAGCTGGGGTGAGAGGGTAAAAATGGGAATAAGTTGGGTAAAAATGGGAATAAGTTGGGCAAAAGTGGGAATTACTTGGGTAAAACTGGGAATAAGATGGGTAAAACTCGGAATAAGTTGGGTAAAATGGGAATAAGATAGTAAAAGTTAATTTAATTTGAGTATAGAGGGATAAAACTGGATATAAGTTGGGTAGGATTGAGTATACATTGATATAGCTAGATAGAACTGGGAATCAGTTGAGTGTTACCGAGTATAATTGGGAAAAATTGATAGAAAGGGACATTATAGCTAGGATGAGATGCCAGTTAGGTTAAACTTGGGTTAAACTGGGTACAGATGAGAATAAGTTGAGTATAGCAGGGTTTTGTGGGTACTGGGAACTGTTACTGGGGATAAATTGAGAAAAAGGGGATTAATGGGCGAATAAAAGACGCCTGTTAGGCTAAAGTTGTGTCCAACCGGGTGTAGTAAATGGCTTAGGAGCGGAGAAAATAGGTCTAGTAAAAAAATTAAGGGATGGAAGGGAAAGTAAAAGATTGGGAAAAGAATGTTTGTAATATTCAGGGTAAAAGTGGGATACAAATTAAATAATAGGGTAAGTATTAGAGGGCAATCAATCTGAAAAGGTAAGTAAATGTAGTAGATAGTGAATAGATAGCCCAATGGTGAACCAGTTAAAAAAGGGTAAGTTGGGGTAAGTACAGATTAAAAACTGGGGTAAGTGGGCGACATGGGCACAAGACTTTAGGTAATATTTTTTTATGAATTTTTAATGTTTTTTAAACATTTTTTTAAACCCGTCCCCAGTTACGCCCATGTTTATGATGTGCAATAAAGTCGAAAATCGCAGGGGTAAATGAAGCTGTCATATACTTTGACCGCGATAGCCGAACGGTGAAGGGGTCGGACTGGCCGACTCGTGATCCGGGAACGCGGGTTCGGTCCCCGCCGCCGCTCGACTATTGTGGTGAGCTCACTCGTGACACAAGCATATTTAGCTTAGTACGAGGGGCTAACGGGACTATTAGTTATTTGTGTAATAACAAATCACTAATAATCTTCTTTCGTGCTACCAAGCTGCTTACTCCTTGGATTTTTTTTATATTTACGAAGTTTCAATGTGTCGTGCACGTATAATGTCTACGTTCTCGTGTAAGCGGCAACTTATTATGGGCGGATTTTAGAATGAATGAGGTAGGAATAAAATAGGCTTTTATTAAAGTCGGTTCCATATGTTGGCCCCAATATTGGTCCCAACGTCTCTTGTCCAATATGGATGTAGAATATAGTATTGGTACCAATGTTGGGCAAGTTATTTTCTAGATTCACGCGGACGAATGGCGTTGGGGCCAACATTGGGGCTAACGTGGAGTCGGACTTATTTAAAACTCGGTTCAAATTCAAGCTTAGATACTATTCTGTAATTCATTGAATTTAAATATTTGAACAATTTTGAAATCAAATAAATGAATTTATTCTCGAGTTTGAATCGAGTTTTTAAATATCTACTGAATTATGTCTACTATTCTAATTGTTTAATTTACTTACAACCTACAAGCTACAGAATAAGCAATCGAAGCGATTACGCATAAAACTGTCACTTCGAAGATCGGTTACCACTTTTTTTCCAATATTAGGGTAGACCGAGGAGAGTCGCAAAGCTGATTTCTCGGGGCCTATAGTACGAGAGGGGACCGTAAGATACTACTTTCGACCAAATCGGAGTTTATTAATTAACTAGCTGAGCCGGCGAACTTTGTTCCGCCTTAATGGCAATAAATGAGCAGACTTTTTTTTAATTTCGAACGGGATAAAAAGTATCCTATGTCCTTCTCCTGGCTCTAAACTACCTCCCTGACAATTTTCAGCTCAATCGGTTCAGCCGTTCTTGAGTTATAAGTGGAGTAACTAACACGACTTTCTTTTATATATATAGATATAGATTGTTCCAAGCTTATCATAACTTTTCTTAACATGTGCCGTGGAGCTTAACTTAATGTTAAGTGACGTGGGGTTTCTTAATTCTTACGGTCCCCTCTCGTAGTACTATGACAGTTAGACAGCTGACAATTTCACGCAAACTGTGAAGTTACGAAAGAGTAACGAATTAATGAAATTGCTAGCTCGATATACACTCAAGGTTCAGAGAAATTTTTTTTTTTTTTTTTTTTATCCACAACGAGGAAGCTCTTGGCCTGTATCTCACCTGATGGTAAGTGACGATCAGGCCGAAGGTGGAAGCGAGCTTCACCCGGAATCCTCAACCACGGAGGAACTGGCTATCTTACCTCTAACTGCTGGAACACAATAATGCTGTTAACATTGTTGTTATGGCGTCAGACTTAGGTAAGATGGTGGTAGCTAGCCAGGCGGACTTAGAACAAGCCCTACCACCAACCAAACCGAACAGAAAAATCTGCCCCCACTGGGAATCGAACCCGGGACCTCTGCGTCTGAAGCAGGTGGTCTTACCACTAGACCACAGAGGCGGTTAATTCACTTTGTTACGACTCTCCTCGGTCTCCCCTAACCATGAACTTAGGTCGAATTATTATCTTATAAAACAACTACAGAGCATCTCTAATATGCATCTCCAACGACCATTCCAGAAGGAGCGATGTGCTCGTCATCAGAAGAGGAAAGCACGAGGCCGGAGGTGCCGCCAGTGGACGACGGTCCTTTTGCGTTCAGGCGGAAACCCGGCTGTTACTACGAGATGGTGAGTTTCTATTAATTAGGCCCAGAACAGATGGTGAAACGCAACTGCAACGAAACTGCAACTTTCTGATGAATGAAACTGCAACTGAAAGTTTCAAACTGGTCGCGTCATGTGTGGTCTCTCAAAGGACGCTATGGCAGAAACTTAGATGCAACTCAAAAGTAACTAGCAGTTGCAGTCTGTTCTGGGCCTTAATCTGTACGGTAAGCTGAAGAGTTTATTTGCTTGAACGCGCTAATCTCAGGAACTACTGGTCCGATTTGAAAAAATATTATTGTGTTGGGTAGCCCATTTATCGAGGAAGGCTTTTGGCTATATGACATCACCCTACAGCCAATAGGGGCGGAGCAGTAAAGAAAAACTGAACGAGTAAAAGCTCAAAAGTTGCACAGCGTTCTATGATGAAGGCTATGCTTGGTGTTTCTTTACGAGATCTAATCAGAAATGAGGAGATCCGTAAACGAACCATAGTCACTGCATAACCCGACGGATTAGCAAGATAAAGTGGCAATGGGCAGGGCACATAGTACGCAGAACTGACGGCCGATAAGGCAGCAAGGTTCATAGATCATAGAACTGATGGCCGTTGGCGCAGAAAAGTTCTTGAATTTCACCAAAGACTGGAAGACGATGTAGGAGCTCCTACTTGTATGAATAAAATATTACTATAGTCTGGTCCGTGAGCACGTAGAATTTTGTCCAATGACCCCAAGCTACCCATCCTTATTGCTCGCGCGTAATTATGTTGCTATCGCGCTCGCACACTCACTGCGGGTGCCAGTCGCACAGTCGCGACAGCAATATAATTACGCGCGAGCGATAAAGATGGGTAGCTAGGGGTCATTGGACAAAATTCTACGTGCTCACGGACCGGGCTTTAGTCAAATCTAGTGTGTAAAACCGCATCGTTTTTGTTGCAGCCGACGTCGACGTTGTGCGGGGACCCTCTCGATCCGGATAGACCGTCTCACGACGTTCTATACGACCACGAACTCGACGAACGGTATAGGTAAGTTCATTCATTCATTCATTCAATCATTCGTTCTTTAAAAGTAATATAAAAAAGTTATAAAAGTCATTTATGTATTTTGCAATTAGGCTTTTAAAAAGCTCTTACGCACCTGATGTTACCTTTTTACATCAAAGTGCATCCAACAAATACCCATCTTTTGAACTTTGAGGAATACCTGTTACGTTTGTACTTTGAATTTTTTTACTTTTTATTTTACCCTCTCGTACCAAGCTAAATATGCTTGTTGTTACGAGTGGGTTCATCATGCTATTCGAGCAGCGCGCGGCGAGATTCGAACCCGGCCAGTCCGATCGGTGAAGTTCAGCTACCGTGCCTTCACGACTAATGTAACATGATGTACTGGGACGATACCCATTTCATTGACCGGCGCGCGCGAGAAAGTAGCATTTTATTAACAGTTCTTAGAGTCGTAATTGTTTACAACTGATTACCTGACATTTCACGACATTTGACATGCGTCGGAAGCCGGTCGGCTCGCGTTATCCACCGCATTTTTGACCGAACGGACGCTACGCTGCGCGCCGACTCGCGCCGGTCATTGTGAATCCTGCCTTAATTGTTTATGTTAAGTCATATTAATTAAAATATACTGTCGTATCGCAGGTTCAACCTCACATCCCTCAACTACCCGTATCCTCATTGCATCGGTTTCGCGCGGCGGCGCGTCGGGCGCGGCGGGCGCGTGTTATTGGACAGAGTGCGGACGCCGCTCGACGACCTCTGGCCGCGGCTGCCATTCCAGTTCCAAGGGTCCACGGAGTACCGCCGGGAGCGGGACGAGGAGGTATGTAGAATAGAATTTCAATTTTTGACTTTGACTTTTGACTTTGACTTTTGACTTTGACCTTTGACTTTGACTTTGACTTTTGACTTTTGACTTTGACCTTTGACTTTTGACTTTGACTTTTGACTTCGACTTTTGCAGTTAACTAATGACTTTGAAAGTCATAATATCAGTCGTAAAAGTAATTTACTTTCTGCAAATAGGCTAGGCAAAAAAGCGTTTTGATTTGAAAGTAATCAAAGTCGAAAATAAAAGTTAAAATCAAAATGTTAACTTTTATTTCTTCGACTTTGATTACTTCATTTGATTTCTGTCATTTCACTTTGATCCTTGATTTTGACTTTGACCTTAACTTTTCATCTTTGACTTACAGCTACTTACACTTTCATCTAAAACTGTAATAGTCACTTTGTTTGCAAGTTTCACTTTAACAGCTACGCAACTGTATCTTGTTTATAAAATTTCATTAACAACATTCATTACACCATACAATTTGTCCACAGGTGGAGCTCGAGACGAAAGCGCATCGGACGCCCAAAGAGATGACCCGCGACTACCATTCGGGCGGCAAGCATCCCTGGAGGCACGCTTTCAGACAACACCTGGCCAAACACCCGCACCTCTGGACCGAGCCCAAGTCAGAACCCAAACCAGAACTAGAACTCAAGATCGAATTCGACCCAGACGTAACCGAGTTCAAAACAAACGAGTACGAAGCTAGTGAAAACAAAATCAGTGATACGGACGCGAGTGAAAACAAGATCAGTGATACGGACGCGAGTGAAAACAAAATAAGTGATGCGTGCGATAATAGAGTCAGTTTACGGGACAGTGTGACGTATAAAGGGGTAGGGGGCAGTGACGCGGCCCGGACTATAGAGTGCAATGTTAAGGACAGCCTTGATAGGGCTAGAAGGAAGCGGTCTTGGAGCGGGTGTAGCGATTCGAGTTATGATTCTGATGAGAGTCTACAGCCTGTTGAGAGGGAGTTTGAGAAGTTCATCACCGAGGTCAATAAGAAATGGTGAGTTTTGTGTTCTAATTTCATATTGACTAGGTTTTCCAACTACAATTTGGACAGGTACCTTATAAGATTGCAGGAAGTCACTATATGCAGTATGGTAATCATTGGTGGAGGTCTATGTTCAGTATTCGACGTCCTATGGTTGAAATGATGATGATGATTGACTGTAAGTCAATATCTTCTTTGTGTAAAGCTTTAAGTTTTATCTTGAGGAAAAACTTCCGTGCTTTTAAGCGATTTTGTGAAAAATATTATTGGCAGGTAGTTGCTAATTGCTCATAAGATAGGCCCCCTTAATTTAATTTATTGTGCGTGGTGCATAATCTTTTTCTTAAAGGTTTTATTTAAACCTTTGTTTGTCACCTGTCATCCGCTTTGCAATGGAGGGAAGTCGAACCTTAATTTCGAACTCCTCGTATGTTCTTCTGATTAATTTCGTTGCGGGTCCAATGACAGTTTAACTTTCCCCCGGGACAAACTTGACCTTCATTGGTTGGGTTTTTGTGGCGGTCAAGCTGTAGATCCTGGCTACACAGGAGTTGCAGTGGTGGGAACGAGAGGTGGGAATAGTCCCGTTAAAGTTTTATCTTGAATATTTAACAGCTAGTAGGGAGTGAAGGCTATCCTTCAATTGCATCTTGTAAATTACAGAGTCGTGCTCCTGCAGTGAATAACTGGCAAATGATGATGATGACGACTGCGACTTAATTTATTTTTACAATGCAATATTTTTTCTTGATTTTGGCAAAATTTTAGTCTTTACCACTGCTTTGTGACTAAAACGTAGTGTACGCAGTGTGTTTTCGTACGACTTCGTAATTGCAATAAACTAAAGTGCGCTCAAATTAATTATGCTCTCAAAACTTACATAAAACTTTTCTTCCCAGGTTACACTTCCGACCTAAAACGCCGCCTCCCTCACCCCCCTCTCCAACCCCAGTCCCCGACGATGTCCTTCCCATAACGCTGGACACGCCCCTAGCGGTCGAACTTCGGTCACACCCCTCCGACAACTTACAACCCTTCACGACCACCGAGTTCACCCTAACCGACCTATACGGAGATATCAACCCCGAAGAAAAAGACCACAGCGGTAGCAATTTAGATATCAGCGGAGAGGATTTGCTCGGTGAAAACTTCACCGGATTGACCGAAGCTCAAGTGGAAAGCATTCTGTCCGAGACGGATCTTAAAGCGTTGGCCGATGTGGATTTGACTAAGGACGATAAGAAGCTGCCCGATGAGTTGTTGGAGTTGGTGAACGATGAGAGAGATCCTTTTTTATTACAAGGCCAGGGCGCGGATGGGCGTGCCGGCTCTGGCTCAAGGAAGCGGAAGGCGGACGCGTTCGGATCCACCGCTGTACAGGTAATTATTATTATTATTTCAAATAACATTTTCTAAGGCGCTTACACGTCCCAAATATACCACCACTTCGGGACAACATGGGCTGGTGCTGAGAAGAAGTGGCAGAAGAAACTCCAGTCACTTTTGTCAGCCTCTTTTTTTGTATTTCTACTATGGATAGACTTATTATTATTTATTATCCACCGCAACTACTGGCCGTCGCTGTGTCGTAGAGCACACAGAAGGTAACGCTCAGTAACGCCCGGTTGTGCACAGTAACTGTGCAGTTTGTAAAGTGACGCACAGTAACGAGTGTCTGTGACGTGACGCAGTCTTGACAAGACTCAAAGCCTCCGTAACTACCGGCCCTCACTGTCTCGGAGAGCCTCAAGGTAAAGCACAGCAACGCCCGGTCGCGCACAGTAACTGTGCTGCCTGTAGATAATGTATAATAACGTCCGCGGCGCACATTAACTATTTCTTTTCATACTTTAACTCGATATTTCTAGTTTAAAAATATGTTTTGTATTACTGGTTTGAAACTTTGATAACTGGTTTTTAACATCAGCATTGTGGAAAATGTTTTTTTTTTCAAGTATTCGTCAACACTTCGCCGCCGAATCCGGTCGTCATTGATTGGTGTAATAAATATAGAAAATTTGATTCCTGGTCACAATAAAATAAATAAACACAATCTGTTAACCCTTTACCTACGGGCCCTTGGAAACCCAAAGTCGCCTCTCAATACGGGATATTTTAACCCATAAAATTGTTTGCTCCACTTTATAGCCTGACCAGGAACATAAAAACCCTGGCATAGAGGCGCGTCAATTGCTTTTGATAGTCCAACACTGAGTACAGTCGTACCTGTGTTAAATTAATAGGCTAACTTTATGTATCAGGATTCAGGATTACGGGCTAATTTGATATTTTCATAAATTAACGAAAACATATTATTAAAGGTAACCTGGTTTAAATAAATTAAATGTAACCATCAATCGAGCTAGTAGGATTTATTTTATTATTCATCAATAATCAAATTCAGAACTTGAATATTCAACTGCAATATCTGCTCATGAACGCTTCAAACTCGGTACTTCTTTCCCAATGCCATAAAATTCAACACTTAGAAAGTGACAAAAATCTTTTAAATAGGTAGTTGAAACAAACCACAGCTAATTTTCATAGTGGACTGTACTATACGATAAACATGTCAGTCAATTTGACAACCTTTGTCGGAAACATTAGTCAATGAAAATATTGTCCAAACCCTTAGTATTTCTCTTCGACAAATACTTTAACACATTGTGAACCACTTTTCTTTCACGACTATAAAAAGATTTTAGCAATTTAATTCACAAAATCAATTGCGCACATTTAAAATAAAGTTTGTTTACACTTTGACAGCAATAGACTGACATGCAAGGTGACATGACATGTCAATGAAGTTTTCAGTTACTGTTGCCATTAAAAGAAATTAGTACCATTAATTTTCCGCAACATGGCGAGGGTTTTTATGTTCCTGGTCGGGCGGTCGGGTATACATCAAGATATTTTAAAAAGTATGAGACTTACGGTATTGAAATTTGGAATATTATATTCTGCAACTAAAGTAGTTTCATAATTATAAGCGCATTTTACACTTAATTTGCAATTTTTTTGTTTTTTTTTTTTTTTGTCGTAAACCGTGATTTAGTATTGGCTGTGCCAAAATAACAATAGATGCCACCCGCATTGAGAAGTGACTTTTGACTTGGCAACTATAGGTGCCTCCCGTAGGTAAGAGGTTAATTAATGTGGATAATGCCCCTGCAGTAGATACTAAAATAAATATCATAATTGTGCAGCTGCCGACTAATGTTAATGTATAGTGTGAAAATAATGTATTTAAGTGCGTGGAAGTGTGGTCTCTTGTAAAGGCACCGGCTAGCTACACATGAACAATTATACTATAGGATAGAACTATGTCTCTAGGTATCCTAATTCCCTAGTTCCCTAACCTACAGCATAAATGTAAGATAAATAAATATATAAATAAGTGAGGGATGTCTGCACCGTGAGACCTAAGGTAACAGACGGAATGTGGTGAGGAATTAGGTGAGGAGTGGGTTTTCTTACTGCCAGTCAAGCAGACTCACAAGACTGATCAGGATCTGATGGCTAAGGGTGTCTTGGCCACAGTGAGAGGAATATAGTTACCAGGTGGAACGATACGTGGTTGAAATGATGTAGTCCAAGTCCAAACGGTCAAAGAGAGTTTATTAACAATCTTACAATATTTATACTAACGCTATTTACACACACATACAAGTACATTACTTAAATCTATAATAGTGTACGCCCGTGTAATGTGCAACGATTGCACTATGATGTAGGCCAAATGGCAATGCCAGATTTTGTATGGAAGGTGGCGTCTTTTTTTTTTCGCGCGGCCATCGACCAAACCTTATTTTTTGATTACAAAATAGTGTAATAAACCAAACTTACTATGACATGTATACCTCTAAACTCAGTCTGGACTGAGTTACGAGCATTAGAAGTTTGATGATTTTACATACTAGATTTGCTTTCTGCGTGCAAGCTTTGTAAGAAATTGCAACAAAATAATGACATTGTATGTGTAAACAAACAATAACATCAATTATAGGCTCCAGTCATCAGTATGGAGCAGAATCAGCGCAATAAAAAAAGACGTCACTATTTTGTTGCAATTTCTTACAAAACTTGCGCGCAAAAAGCAAATCTTAGTATGTAAAACATCAAACTTCTAATGCTTGTAACTCAGTTCAGACTGAGTTTAGAGGTATACATGTCGTAGTAAGTTTGGTTTATTACACTATTTTGTAACCAAAAAACATGGTATGGTCGATGGCCGCGCGAAAAAAAAAAGACGCCAATTTCCGGCATTGTCTTTTGTTGCTGATCAGAGATCAATGTTCGTCTGAACAATAATAACGACGTATATTACTCAGGTGTCGCCGCTGGCTAAGGAGACAATGTACGTGGAGGCGCAGCGCTCGCCGCCCGCCACGCCCGCGCCCGCGCCCGCGCCGCCTCCCGCCAAGCCTGCCGTGGAACCGCCCAGCCGTACAGAGACCATCGAGGAGGTGCAGCTGCCTAGGGGCGTGCAGTTGCAGGTATGTTATACAGGGTACACGCTACACAACACACTTACCACCTTACACGCTACACTACTTGCAAAATAGCGCCTTATTGCAAGCTTTCCCCGCTCCCACCGATCAGTCGGCACGGGATAAACGTGACGAGACTATAGGTGGTGCAGTTGCCTAGGGGCGTTCAGTTGCAGGTATTAGAGTACGGTCGCCGAGCACGTGGAATTTCGTCCAATGACCCCAAGCTACCCATCCTTATCGCTCGCGCGTAATAATATAGAATTTCGTGCAATGACCCCAAGCTACACATCCTTATCGCTCGCGCGTAATTATATAGAATTCCGTCCAATGACCCCAAGCTACACATCTTTATCGCTCGCGCGTAATTATATAGCATTTCGTCCATTGAACCCAAGCTACCCATCCTTATCGCTCTCGCATAATTATATTGCTGTCGCGACTGTGCGACGGGCGGCCGCAGTGAGTGTGCGAGAGCGACAGCAATATAATTACGCGCGAGCGATAAGGATGGGTAGCTTGGGGTCATTGGACGGAGTTGTGTTTACAAACTTGTATGGAGGAGGTGCAGTTGCCTAGACGCGTCCAGTTGCAAGTATGTATTAGAGAGAACATAGTTTAGTTGCAATATAGCAGCTATAGCAAGCTCGCCGCCCGCCACGCCCGCGCCCGCGCCCGCGCCGCCCCCCGCCAAGCCCGCCGTGGAACCGCCCAGCCGTACAGAGACCATCGAGGAGGTGCAGCTGCCTAGGGGCGTGCAGTTGCAGGTAGGTTGTGCAAGTATTGCAAGCTTGATCTGACGCCCCTACTGCGTGAGATCATTGCCTAGGGGCGTGCAACGTAATTGCAGTTGTTACTACAGAATAGCGTCTATTAAAAGCTTGTCCCGCCGCCCCTGCTGCGCGAGACTATAGAGGTGGTGCAGCTGCCTAGGGGCGTTCAATTGCAGGTACACACTACACACTGTTGTTCCAATAGGTGATTTTTCAAGTCAGAGCGCGAGACAGGCGAAGAGACTATCGAAGAGGTGCAGCTGCCTAGAGTGTTTACTATAAAATAGCACCTTATTATAGTCCGGTCGCCGAGCACGTAGAATTTCGTCCAATGACCCCGAGCTACCCATCCTTATCGCTCGCGCGTAATTATATTGCTGTCGCGCTCGCACACTCACTGCGGCCGCCCGTCGCCAAGTCGCGACAGCAATATAATTATGATAAGGATGGGTAGCTTGGGGTCATTGGACGAAATCCCACGTGCTCGGTGTCCGGACAAGCTTGTATGGAGGAGGTGCAGTTGCCTAGACGCGTCCAGTTGCAAGTATGTATTAGAGAGAACACAGTTTAGTTGCAATATAGCAGCTATAGCGAGCTCGCCGCCCGCCACGCCCGCGCCCGCGCCCGCGCCGCCCCCCGCCAAGCCCGCGGTCGAGCCGCCCAGCCGTACAGAGACTATCGAGGAGGTGCAGCTGCCTAGGGGCGTGCAGTTGCAGGTACGTTGTTCTTGTAGGCATTTGCAACTAAATAGCAAGCTTGATCCGACTACCCTACCGCGTGAGACCATCGAGGAGGTGCAGTTGCCTAGGGGCGTCCAGTTGCAGGTAGGTTATACAGGGTACACGCTACACAACACACTTTTTTTGTTGCAAAATAGCGCCTTATTGCAAGCGCCCACCGATCAGCCGGCGCGGGAGAAACGTGACGAGACTATAGGTGGTGCAGTTGCCTAGGGGCGTTCAGTTGCAGGTATTAGAGTACGGTCGCCGAGCACGTGGAATTTCGTCCAATGACCCCAAGCTACCCATCCTTATTGCTCTGTCGCGCTCACACACTTACTACGGCCGCCCGTCGCACAGTCGCGACAGCAATATGCGAGAGCGATAAGGATGCAGTGCAGTTGCCTAGGGGCGTGCAGTTGCAGGTTTGTGTTAGCGAGTACACACTACACACTTTTGTCGCAATATAGCACTTATTGCAAGCGTCACCCGCTGGACTATTGTGGTGACCCAATCTTAACACGAGCATATTTTTATTTTTTAGCTTAGCTCGATGGGTTAGCGGGACTTTTAGTGATTTGTGTAATACACATTTCTTATACGATAGGTATTCTATTTTAAGAAAAGAAAGACTTCCACTCTTGGGGTGACCTTATTCTAACAATACTCTATGTATGTTCTGAAGAGACTGTACAATTTCTACACATGTATGCACACTTTGATCTATCGCTAGTGATATCCATCGACTTGTGGTAATAATAGTGTGCGAGAGCGACGCATCGCATAACATTGCACGGTTAATGTTGACCGTGGAATTTACTTACGATGCAACATGTCATATTATATTAAACTTAACCTTAAAACTTTAATCGCTCTTCCTATGTAATTCTGTTCGATTTTTTGTGTGAGTAAAATAAAGATTTATTTATTATGTTCTTCTGATTAATTTCGTTGCGGGTCCAATGACAGTTTAATTTTCCCCCGGGACAAACTTGACCTACACTGGTTCGGTTTTTATTGGCGGTCAAGCTGTAGATCCTGGCTACACAGGAGTTGCAGCGGTGGTAACGAGAGGTGGGAATAGTCCCGTTGAATTGACCGCATAAAAATGACGTATTTGTTGAAAATCTTTTTCGGTTTTGTTTTAAAATTGTTTTTAAGTTTAGATTAGCTGGGTCTCTCCACTGTCACACATAAAATATAGCTCCAGTCCATCTGTTTCAAAGATTAAAGTTTTTAACCTGTTCTATTCTTCTGTTTTTAGACGGTACAAACGGCGCATTCTCCATTGAAGAAACACATAATAACGTCCGCGGCGCACAGACGGGCTAGCGACTCGGCGCAGGAATCGCAGCCGCCGCAACTACTGGCTGTCGCAGTGTCGGAGAGCTTAAAGGTAATGCACAGTAACGCTTGATCATGCACAGTAACTGTGCAATCTGTAAAGTAACGTACAGTAACGTCCACGATGCACAGGCAAGCCAGTGGCTGTGTAAGACTCGCAGCTGCCACAACTACAGGCCGTTGCAGCCTCAAGATAAGATACGATAATGCACAGTAACGCCTGGTCATGCCCAGTAACTGTGCAGATTGTACGGTAACGCCTGGCCACGCACAATAACTGTGCAGCCTTTGAACAACAATTTTTATAGAATATCTTCAAAATGCCGACACGCTTACTTCTTACTATTTACGATATTATTAGGTACCAATGTTCCACCTACACATTTTTTTTTCTTTTATTTGATTTACAATTTTACAATAGTAAAATACAGATACTTAGATATAATTTTTATTTAATTTTTCCTTCGTAGGTGCGGCTGCAAAACCATCTGCTGTCGAGTCAAGCGGGAGTGTTGGTGCAGAACGGACCCTTCCCGCCCGTGGTCGCGGTGCCCGTGCAACAGGCGAGAGAAACCAGTGAGTTGTCTTGTTTGTTTAGTCGGCCGTTTGGTGTAGTGGTTCGAAACGGACTACTATTCCGGAGGTAGCGGGTTCGATTCCCGCACAGTACAAACATTCGTAAAGGTAGCAGGGAAGCGCTGGACGCAGACCGCTGCCAATCGATCAACATGGAAAGCATTGGGGGAGGCCTATGTTCAGCAGTGGACGTCCTATGTCTGAAATGATGATGATGATGATGATGACAAACATTTGTGTGCATGAACATATTTGTTTGTATTGGACTGGGTGTTTTCTATGTATAATAAGTATGTATTTACAAAAAAAAGTATTTAAGTATGTTTATATCCGTTGTCTAGTACCCATAGTACAAGCTTTGCTTAGTTTGGGACTAGAAAATGTCTAAGGATAAGGAAGGATATTTATTTATTTATTACTAGCTTTATCCCGCTTTTTCACCCGCGTTCGTTCGTCTTTCGATTCAGCCAAATGACGTCCATTACTGGACAAAAGATTTCCACAAAGACCGGTCCTACGCCGAGGAGTTTTTAAACATGAGAAGACGTGTATGAAGTAAAGATCTAGCTATAGTCTGGTCCGTGAGCACGTAGAATTTTGTTCAATGACCCCTAGCTACCCATCCTTATTGCTCGCGCGTAATTATGTTGCTATCACGCTCGCACACTCACTGTGGGTGCCCGTCGCACAGTCGCGACGGCAATATAATTACGCGCGAGCGATAAGGATGGGTAGCTTGGGGTCATTGGACAAAATTCTACGTGCTCACGGACCGGGCTTTAGACTATTTTTGTTTTTATTCTATAGATAGATAAAGTATCTTTTGCCTGCGACTTTTTATTGCTAGTACAGTCAGCGTCAAACGACCAATAAGAGTGACTGTTAAAAATACACTGATTTATTGCTATAAACTATAAAGTATTCAATGCGTTCGACGCTAATTTGGGTCAACCGCGCAAACGCTTACTTAGCAATAACTTATTAGCTATATGAAAAGTGAATACGTTTGTACGATAGCTCGTACATAGTTCAAGACACCCAAAGTAGCCACAAAGTTAGCAACAGTCAGCATTGTTGTGTTCCGACAGTTAGAGGTAAGACAGCCAGTTCCTCCGTGGTTGAGGATTCCGGGTGAAGCTCGCTCCACCTCCGGCCTGATCGTCACTTACCATCAAGTGAGATACAGGCCAAGAGCTTCCTCGTTGTGGATAAAAAAAAAAGTGCTCTCAACTTTTTGGCCACTTTGGGTGTCATGAACTATTTGACGCAGACTGTTCGTTCGTTTCAGCCGAAAGACGTCCACTGCTGGACAAAGGCCTCCCCCAAGGATTCCCACAAAGACCGGTCCTGCGCCGCTCGCATCCAGGCACCTCCCGCGACCATCACCAGATCGTCGGTCCACCTAGTGGGAGGCCAACGCTACGTCTTCCGGCTCGTGGACGCAGACTGTACCGACTCCAATTCCCAATATTGTGTCATTTGTTCCAGCGGTAGCAGGAGTATCAGTAGGCGCCAGCACATCGTCCCCTCGTCGCGTATCCGCCCCACTAGTCCACTTAGCCCCCGCCTCCCTCGCCCACAAACCCCTCCAAATCCACCAGCCACCCCACTCTACCCCACTAGTGGTGGCCCAATCCCACACCATACACCACGTGGCGCCGAACAAATTGAAAGTGCTCCACGCTCATCCTCTCACTCAGACGCAAAGGACGCAGTTACTGGCCCAGAATAGGAGCATAGCGCAGTTACCAGCTGTGGTCTCACTGTCGCCGCTTGGGGAAGCTAAAACTACTAATACTGGTGAGTAAATATACTTTAGGACCTAACGAGATCTAAAAGCATTTCTTGGCCTCTGAGACCACCAAAATCAAACGTTCTAAGACACGTTTCTAATAGATTAGGAATTAAATGTCTAAAAGAAACCTTAATTTCATGCTAGGCCTCTGAGACCACCAAAACTAACGGTCCCGAGTCCACCGGTTAGGTATTTGTTAGCGTCGAAATAGGAGCTCGCTGTCGCCACTTGTGGAAGCCAAGACTACTAATGCCGGTGAGTTTATTAAATGTAAAGACTGAAACCACCCCCTAGTGGTGGCCCAATCCCACACCATACACCACGTGGCGCCGAACAAATTGAAAGTGCTCCACGCTCACCCGCTCACTCAAACGCAAAGGACGCAGTTACTGGCCCAGAATAGGAGCATAGCGCAGTTGCCAGCTGTGGTCTCGCTGTCGCCGCTTGGGGAAGCTAAAACTACTAATACTGGTGAGTAAATATACTTTAGGACCTAACGAGATCTAAAAGCATTTCTTGGCCTCTGAGACCACCAAAACCAAAGCTTTCTAGACACGTTTCTAATAGATTAGGAATTAAGTATCTAAAGAAGACCTTACGTCATGCTAGGCCTCTGAGGCCACCAAAACCAAAGGTCCCTAGACAGGTTTCTATTGGTTTAGGAATTAAAAGTGTCTAAAAGTGACCTTAAAGTCATGCTAGACCTCTGAGACCACCAAAACTAACGGTCCCGAGTCCACCGGTTAGGTATTTGTTAGCGTAGAAATAAGAGATCGCTGTTGCCACTTGTGGAAGCCAAGACTACTAATGCCGGTGAGTTTATTAAATGTAAAGACTGAAACCACCCCCTAGTGGTGGCCCAATCCCACACCATACACCACGTGGCGCCGAACAAATTGAAAGTGCTCCACGCTCATCCGCTCACTCAGACGCAAAGGACGCAGTTACTGGCCCAGAATAGGAGCATAGCGTAGTTACCAGCTGTGGTCTCGCTGTCGCCGCTTGGGGAAGCTAAAACTACTAATACTGGTGAGTTTCTAGAGTAAATATACTTTATCAGGAGCTTAAAGAGATCTAAAAGCATTTCTTGGCCTCTGAGACCACCAAAACCAAAGCTTTTTCTAGACACGTTTCTAATAGATTAGGAATTAAGTGTCTAAAAGAGACATTAACGCAATTCTAGGCCTCTTGAGACCACCAAAACTAGTCCCTAGACACGTTTCTATTGGATTAGGAATTAATTGTCTAAAAGATACCTTAACGTCAAGTTAGGCCTCTGATGCCCGTTTTCACCATCAATCCCTAATTTTTAAGTGACCCCTAAAATTCAAAATTCAAAATTATTAATTGTGAAACAATAGTGTTTACAGATAAAAATATTACATTGTGATAGTCTCACTATGTTTCGCCTGGTCGCCTATGGTAACAAATAACACGAATTTTGTTTTAATAGGGGTTACTTAAAAATTAGGGATTGATGGTGAAAACGGGCATGAGACCACCAAAACTAACGGTCCCGAGACCACCGGTTAGATATTTGTTAGGGTAGAAATAGGAGCTCGTGACTCGTAAAAAAGTGACATTAAATGTATGGCGGATTGTACAGCGCCCCCAGCGGAAACTTTCAAGAACTAAAATCCTCAAAAAAATTTTGACGTAAACTCACACTAAGCCCCCAGGACTGAAAATGCCCGAGCGAAAAATATTCTATGCAAAATCATTTAAATTTTTCCGCTAGTGAAGTGTCTTAAAAATGTGGTTCGTATTTTTGTACACGTGATTAATTTATCCAATCTCTCCCACCAGCTCTCCTAAAAGCGGCCCCCGGTTCAGTGGCTCAATTCTTCGAGATCAAGAGCGGTCAGCTCGGCAAGGGCCCGCACCTCGTCAACGTGGTGCGACAACCGCAGCCCGCCAAGTGTGCGCGCGCCGACGCGCCGCCAGCCCCTACGGCGAAACGACAACTGGTGTCGCTGGACGGAGCCGCTTTGAAAGGACCGCAGCGAGTTAGTTTGAGCCTCGATGGACGGCCGTTGCTGCGAGCCGCGCTGCCTGCTGTCAGAGCGCAGCCTCTAAGGCACCAGGTGAGTCCACATACGCTAGCCCGTGGCAAGAACACTACTAGGATCGCTTGAAGGCGCCATTGTTGAAAGACACTCTGTGTACGTCTCATTACGCGCCTACGGCGAAACGACAACTGGTGTCGCTGGACGGAGCCGCTTTGAAGGGGCCGCAGCGAGTTAGTTTGAGCCTCGACGGACGGCCGCTGCTGCGAGCCGCGCTGCCGGCTGTCAGAGCGCAGCCTTTAAGGCACCAGGTGAGTTACACATTATACTCACACATACACACCTTGCATGTGTCGCTATGGCACCAAATATAGCCACAGTCGGCCAAGTGTGCGCGCGCCGCCCGCGCCTACGGTGAAACGACAACTGGTGTCGCTGGACGGAGCCGCTTTGAAGGGACCGCAGCGAGTTAGTTTGAGCCTCGATGGACGGCCGTTACTGAGAGCCGCGCTGCCTGCTGTCAGAGCGCAGCCTTTGAGGCACCAGGTGAGTCCACACTTCACATACTAGCACATGCCAGTGGCAAAAACACGAATAATGTCGCTAGACGGCGCCGCTGTTAAGGGACACCCTGTGTACGTCTCATTACGCGCCTACGGCCAAACGACAGCTGTTGTCGCTGGACGGAGCCGCTTTGAAGGGACCGCAGCGAGTTAGTTTGAGCCTCGATGGACGGCCGCTGCTGCGAGCCGCGCTGCCGGCTGTCAGAGCGCAGCCTTTAAGGCACCAGGTGAGACAATATACACTAGCCCGTGGCAAGAACACTACTAGGGTCACTTGAAGGCGCCATTGTTGAAAGACACTCTGTGTAAGCCTCATTACGCGCCGACCGCAAAACGACAACTGGTGTCGCTGGACGGAGCCGCATTGAAGGGCCCGCAGCGAGTCAGCCTGAGCCTCGACGGACGGCCGTTGCTGAGAGCCGCGTTGCCTGCTGTCAGAGCGCAGCCTCTAAGGCACCAGGTGAGTCCACACTCCACATATACTAGCACATGCCTGTGGCAAAAACACGAATAGTGTCACTAAACGACGGCGCTGTTAAGAGACATCCTGTGTATGTCTCATTACGTGCCCGCGACGAAACGACAACTGGTGTCGCTAGACGGAGCCGCGTTGAAAGGACCGCAGCGAGTTAGTTTGAGCCTCGATGGACGGCCGTTACTGAGAGCCGCCTTGCCTGCTGTCAGAGCGCAGCCTTTAAGGCACCAGGTGAGTCCACATACACTAGTCCGTGGCAAGAACACTACTAGGATCGCTTGAAGGCGCCATTGTTAAAAGACACGTGTAAGTCTCATTACGCGTAGATATACACAGCGTGTTTCACGCGCCTACGGCGAAACGACAACTGGTGTCGTTAGACGGAGCCGCTTTGAAGGGACCGCAGCGAGTTAGTTTGAGCCTCGATGGACGGCCGCTGCTGCGAGCCGCGCTGCCGGCTGTCAGAGCGCAGCCTCTAAGGCACCAAGTGAGTTACACATTATACTCACACATACACACCTTGCATGTGTCGCTACGACACCAAATATAGCCACAGTCGGCCAAGTGTGCGCGCGCCGACGCGCCGCCAGCCCCTACAGCGAAACGACAACTGGTGTCGCTGGACGGAGCCGCATTGAAGGGCCCGCAGCGAGTCAGTTTGAGCCTCGATGGACGGCCGTTACTGAGAGCCGCGCTGCCGGCTGTTAGAGCGCAGCCTTTAAGGCACCAGGTGAGTCTACATACACCAGCCCGTGGCAAGAACACTACTAGGATCGCTTGAAGGCGCCATTGTTAAAAGACACCCTGTGTAAGCCTCATTACGCGCCGACCGCAAAGTGATAGCTGGTGTCGCTAGACGGAGCCGCTTTGAAGGGACCGCAGCGAGTCAGCCTGAGCCTCGACGGACGGCCGTTACTGAGAGCCGCCTTGCCGGCTGTCAGAGCGCAGCCTTTAAGGCACCAGGTGAGTCCACACTCCACATACTAGCACATGCCAGTGGCAAAAACACGAATAGTGTCACTAAACGACGGCGCTGTTAAGAGACACCCTGTGTACGTCTCATTACGCGCCTACGGCGAAACGACAACTGGTGTCGTTAGACGGAGCCGCGCTTAAAGGACCGCAGCGAGTTAGTTTGAGCCTCGATGGACGGCCGCTGCTGCGAGCCGCGCTGCCTGCTGTTAGAGCGCAGCCTCTAAGGCACCAGGTGAGTCGACAAACACTAGCATACACACATAGCGTGTATCACGCGCTCGCAGCTAAACGACAACTGGTGTCGTTAGACGGAGCCGCTTTGAAGGGCCCGCAGCGAGTTAGTTTGAGCCTCGATGGACGGCCGTTACTGAGAGCCGCGCTGCCTGCTGTCAGAGCGCAGCCTTTAAGGCACCAGGTGAGTCCACATACACTAGCCCGTGGCAAGAACACTACTAGGGTCACTTAAGGCGCCATTGTTGAAAGACACTCTGTGTATGTCTCATTACGTGCCCGCGACGAAACGACAACTGGTGTCGCTGGACGGAGCCGCTTTGAAGGGACCGCAGCGAGTTAGTTTGAGCCTCGATGGACGGCCGTTGCTGAGAGCCGCGCTGCCGGCTGTTAGAGCGCAGCCTTTAAGGCACCAGGTGAGTCCACACTTCACATACTAGCACATGCCAGTGGCAAAAACACGAATAATGTCGCTAGACGGCGCCGCTGTTAAGAGACACCCTGTGTACGTCTCATTACGCGCCTACCGCGAAGCGACAGCTGGTGTCGCTAGACGGAGCCGCGCTGAAAGGACCACAGCGAGTTAGTTTGAGCCTCGATGGACGGCCGTTGCTGAGAGCCGCGCTTAGGGTTGCCAAGCGTCCGGCTTTAGCCGGACATGTTTGGCTTTCTAGGGACTCGTCCGGCCAAATATTGCCTTGTCCGGCCTGTCCGGCTTTTGTTAGGCTTTTTATTTGGTTGTCGCGCCAGGCGAAAGTCGAGCCACAGAATCATATGAAGCGCACGCATCAGGATGATGCAGCAACCGATGATGATAGTAATCAGTCATCATGACCTGACACTAATTACACCCCTCCTCCCCGGTCACATGTCCGGCTTTTAGGGTAAAATGTCCGGCCAAATGAAGCACAAAGTCCGGCTTTTGTGATTTTAGACCTGGCAACCCTAGCCGCGCTGCCTGCTGTCAGAGCGTAGCCTTTAAGGCACCAAGTGAGTCTACAAACACATAGCGTGTATCACGCGCCCGCAGCTAAGCGACATCTGGTGTCGTTAGACGGAGACGCTCTTGAAGGGTCGCAGCAAATCAGCTTGTGTCTCGACGGCCATCACATTTACATTTGACACATCAATATTGTACAGTCAGCGTCAAATAGTTCGTGACACCCAAAATAAGTCAAACTTTCGCAACACGTCTAAACGTTTTTGTTACAATTGGAATAAGGTTGTGTTGTCAACTTTTTGGCCACATTTGAATGATCAAACGAACTTACCAAGTGAAGTTCGATCTAAATTATCCTGTTTTCGCCGAAGAGATTTATTTTACCATGTAGTACCCCTGTACGACAACCCAATCCGCACACAATATTCAGCGTAGTAGTAGTAAAAAACAAAAGAGCGGGCAACCCCACCCCTACCACGCTGTGGGCTCGGTGTCCGAGCGGTCTCATTATATTTAGAGAAGAGATGACATTGACGTTTACCTCCAGGGAAGAAGATATAGAAATCTTCGGGTTGGGAGGGACCTTAAATCTCTTCGGCGAAAACAGGATAATTTAGATCGAACTTCACTTGGTAAGTTCGTTTGATCATTGTTGGGTCTAATTCTCGTCACTACACTGCACAACTTAAAATAATTACGTTTTTTGTCGGTAAAAACGTCCTGGTGACGTCACTTAAGCATTTTTCTTATACTGCGTGCGGTCGTTGCGCGTGCGCACAAAGGAATGAGACCGCTCGGACACCGAGCCCACAGCGTGGTAGGGGTGGGGTTGCCCGCTCTTTTGTTTTTTACTACTACTACGCTGAATATTGTGTGCGGATTGGGTTGTCGTACAGGGGTACTACATGGTAAAATAAATCTCGGAGGCGAAAGCAGGATAATGAGTGTCACGAACTATTTAACGCTGTCGCTTACTCTAGAGCATTAAGGCACCATCTTACTTTAACTTTCTGTCAAACTCATACAAAAAGCACCGGTTATCGTTATAGTTACTGTTATAATTAGGTGGTGCAACTCAGCCTAAGCCTGAGCTCCAAAATTACAGCCATAAAGACTATTGAGTGTATAATATTTGCTTTTATTTTGCATCAACATCAATTTCCAATTTCCCAGATCCAACTCAAGAACCGCACGACCACGCTGCAAGTGGCCACGCCGATCGCCCGGAGTTCCGCGGAGCCGTCGTCGTCGATCGCCGCCATTCCGACGCCGTCCAAAACGGCTTCTATACCCAGCGCCGTGGTGGCTAGCTTGCTGCAGCAGACCAAGGGCGTGCAGTTGGGCAAGGTTGGTAATGTGATTATACAGTGTGTTGATTTTAATCCTCGCCATATTTAGGGAGTTGATTAAGTAGCTTATTCTCATCACGAATCAGTAAAAAAATCGACTTTAACTTCAGTTATTCAAAGAAAAATATACCTATTTACACTACCCACTTTACGTGGCTTCCTTCGGTAGGCTATCCGACATGATGAGCGAGCGATATGCGTAGCTCCATGGTGCCGCAGTGTAAACGTATGGCAATATTGCGAGCCACAGTACAGTATCGCACGGATTATATTTGCTAAAAGTTCAAATTTTGGGGGAAAAATGCGTTTATATAAGTTACTAGCGGCCGCCCGCGACTTCGTACGCGTGGATCCCGTTTTACCCCCTTCATCTATCTTACGCGGTTTAGATTTTTTCATACAAATGTTTTTTCCCGCGAACTCCCGTTGCCGTGGGAATTTTGCAATATCCTGTTGTAACTAAGCTTTAAGTTTACTAAGGTACCTGCATGCCAAATTTCAAGCGTCTATCTTATGTAGTTTAGATTTTTTCATACAAATGTTTTTTCCCGCTCACTCCCGTTCCCGTGGGAATTTTGCAATATCCTGTTGTAAATAAGGTTTAAGTTAACTAAGGTACCTGCATGCCAAATTTCAAGCGTCTAACTTAAGCGGTTTAGATTTTTCATACAAAAGGATTTTCCCGCTAATTCCCGTTCCAGTAAGAATTTCGAGAATTCCTTTCTTAGTGCACCTCTACGGTACCTAAGCTACGTCTCTTCCAAATTTCAAGTGCCTACGTTTAGCCGTTTAGGCTGTGCGTTGATCTGTCAGTCAGTCAGTCAGTTTCTCCTTTTATATATTTAGAAGATTTAGATAATAGTAGATCACCTAAATAAATATGGCGAGGATTGAAATCAACACCTTGTATTTGCACTATTTTTAGTATCATCTCGTAATACTATGTAAACATTCACAGTCCAAAAACAAAACACAATGGGTGCTAGTGTTAAGATAGATGTGAAGTAAATTAAAACGTTTACTTATTTTGGCAACTAATGATTAATCTATTTGAGAATGAGAACTATGTCTAACCGAGTGTCTTGAATTTTCTTTTCCGTGAGCGAAATTTAATTCATTCGTGACCTGTATTTTAGATAACACTTTTGCTCTTAGAGTTGTGCGGAAACTATTGGTGGGCGTTGCATGCGTTGCGAGCTCTTTTCAAACTATCATTTGCTATGTGACGCAATCCCCTCTACCCAATAAATATCGCACAGTTTCTTGCTCGCATCTCACTCAGTCACAACACATCTCTCGATAACATCATTGCTTGTCACATTTGGTGGTTATTCTTATGATGCTTGAATCCTACTTTTTATATTTTTAAACCGGCAGACGATGGTGACTGGGTTTGTTGCGGCGCTTCTTCTCAGCACTTGCCAAATGTTTGTCTCGAAGCGCTGGTAGGGCAAAAAAAGAATGAGACATGTATAGGCTCCTTAAGAGCATTTGACGATTTGTAAGTACTAATTGAGTGGCGATCACGGGCTGGAAGACGTAGCGTGGGCAGGCCTCCCACTAGGTGGACCGACGATCTGGTGAAGGTCGCGGGAAGTACCTGGATGCAAGCGGCGCAGGACCGGTCTTTGTGGAAATCCTTGGGGGAGGCCTTTGTCCAGCAGTGGACGTCTTTCGGCTGAAACGAACGAACGAAGTACTAATTTAATTAGTCTAAACAAATAAAGATAATTTTGATTTATTTTTATACATATTTGTTTATCTTCCCAGGGCGGCCAAAAGATAGCCATCTCGGGCCCCGGCGGGCAGGCGCTGGCCGCCAACGTGCAGGCCATCGCCTTCACCGCGGCGCAGCTGCGCGCGCGCCAGGCCCGCCTGCAGCCGCCCGCCAAGCCCAAACCGTGAGTATTATACCATATTAGGTCATATAGTCTCCACTGCAAGAGTCTAATTCAGCAGAGCAGTGGCGTGCTTACTTAAATGCAAGCCCGCCAAGCTCCGGCCGTGAGTATACCTTCATTATTCGGTCATTTAGTCTCCACTGCAGGAGGACGAGCATTAAAGATTCTTCAAGTCTGCGTGAGGCAACTATCAACTAGTCTCTAGACAGCGCGGCGCCCAAGCATCAACAAGTGTCTAGACGGCGCCAAAGCGAGATCTAGTGTCTCTAGGCAGCGCCAAAGTGAGATCTAGTGTGTTAAGACGGCGCCAAAGCGACAACCACTGTCTCTAGATGATGTCAAAGCGACAACTAGTGTTTCTAGACGGCGCCGAAGTGACTAGTGTCTAGATGGTGCCAAAACGACAACTAGAGTTGCTAGACGGCGCCAAAACGACAACTAGTGTCTAGGCGACGTCAAAGCGACATGTTGTGTCGTTAGACGGAGCCGAAGGGACAACTAGTGTCTCTAGACAGTGCCAAAGGGATAACCAGTGTCTATAGACGGCGCCAAAGGGACAACTAGTGACTCGAAACGGTGCCAAAACGTCAAGTGTCTCTAGTTGACGCTGAAGCGACAACTAGTGTCTCTAGATGTTGCCAGAGCAACAACTTGTGTCTCTAGATAGCTAGATAGTACATTTAAGACGGCCACAAGTCACTCGTAACGCCTCTCGGTCAACGTGTGGATTTAGAAAATAGCATTGACACCAATGTTGGCACAAACTAGTTTCTTGATAGACATGTTTGAAGAGAGGCATTGGAACCAACGTTGGTGCCAATATTACCAAAAGATAGCCATCTCGGGCCCCGGCGGGCAGGCGCTGGCCGCCAACGTGCAGGCCATCGCCTTCACCGCGGCGCAGCTGCGCGCGCGCCAGGCCCGCCTGCAGCCGCCCGCCAAGCCCAAACCGTGAGTATTATACCATATTAGGTCTATAGCATCATCAGGTCATTTAGTCTCCACTAAGGATCATCATAAGGCATAAGGTCAGCGAGTCAGCTTGAGTGTCGACGGCCACCCGCTGCTGCGAGCCGCGCATCCACTACGATACCAGGTGCTCACACGTTCACACGACACGGTCTGATACCTGTGCCTATGCCAGGCGCCTATGGCGCAGTCTAGTGTCGCTAGACGGCGCCGAAGGGACAACTAGTGTTGCTAGACGGAGCCGAAAGGGCAACTAGTGTCTCTAAACGGCACCAAAGTGACTAGTGTCTATCTAGATGGCACCAAAGTGACTAGTGTCTTAACAGCGTCAAAGCGACAAATAGTGTCTAGACGGCGCCGAAAGGGCAACTAGTGTTAAAGACGGCGCCAAAGCGACAACAAGTGTCTATAGATGGCGCCAAAGCGACAACCAGTGTCTCTAGATGATGCCAAAGCGACAACTAGTGTCTCTAGACGACGCCAAAGGGATAACTAGTGTCTCGACGGCACTAAAACGACAACTAGTGACTCGAAACGGTGCCAAAGCGTCAAGTGTCTCTAGGTGACGCTGAAGCGACAACTAGTGTCTCTAGATGTTGCTAGAGCAACAACTTGTGTCTCTAGATGGCTAGATCGTATATTAAGACGACCACAAGTCACTCGCAACGCCTCTCGGTCAACGTGTGGATTTAGAAAATAGCATTGACACCAATGTTGGCACAAACTAGTTTCTTGACGGACATGTTTGAAGAGAGGCATTGGAACCAACGTTGGTGCCAACACTACCAAAAGATAGCCATCTCGGGCCCCGGCGGGCAGGCGCTGGCCGCCAACGTGCAGGCCATCGCCTTCACCGCGGCGCAGCTGCGCGCGCGCCAGACCCGCCTGCAGCCGCCCGCCAAGCCCAAACCGTGAGTATTACAATAATATATTAATGACCTTACAAGACCATCATCATCAGGTCAGCGAGTCGGTATGAGTCTCGACGTGTCGAGCGACGCTACCGCTACGATACCAGGTGTGTCCGCGCATACATATACACACTCTACGTGTGGCACACGTGTGATACTAAGCTTACTAATGTCGCTAGACGGTGCCAAATGAACAACTAGTGCCTAGACAGTGCCAAAGCGACTACTAGTGTTCTTAGACGGCGCGAAAACGACAACTAGTGTCTAGACGGTGCCATAGTGGCCACTAGTGTCGCTAAGCCGCCCGCCAAGCCCAAGCCGTGAGTATTATAATAGTCTTTATTGTGTATATACTTGTACAAAGGTTACAATGTCATAGGATCATCAGGTTAGCGAGGAAGCTTGAGCCGCGTTGCCGCTACGACACCAGGTGCGTCCACATACAAAGCACAGCGCGTGATTCGTGTTAAACGACCACGGCACCGTCTACAACAACTACGGACAATCAGTGTCTATAGACGGCGCCAAAGGGACAACCAGTGTCTCTAGATGATGACAAAGCGATAACTAGTGTCTATAGACGGCGCCGAAGCGACAACCAGCGTTTCTAGACGGCGCCAAAGGGATAATTAATTTTGAATGAACAGTGCCAAAGGGACAATAACTAGTGTTGCTAGACGGAGCCGAAAGGGCAACTAGTGTCTCTAGACGGCACCAAAGTGACTAGTGTCTAGACGGTACCAAAGCAACAACTAGTTTCTCTAGATGGCGCTAAAGCGAGAACTTGTTTCTTGAGACGGCGCCAAAAGGATAATTAATGTCTCTAGACGGCGCCAAAGCGATAACTAGTGTCTTAAGACGGCGCCAAAGCGATAACCACCGTCTCTAGACGGCGCCGAAAGGGCAACTAGTGTCTATAGACGGCTCCAAAGGGACAGCCAGTGTCTCTAGACGGTGCCAAAGGGTCAACTAGTATCTCTAGACGGCGCCAAAGCGACAACTAGTGTCTAGACGGCGCCAAAGCGATAACCTGTGCGTAGACAGTGCCAAAGCGACAACTAGTGTCTCCAGATGATGTCAAAGCGACAACCAGTGTCTCTAGATGATGCCAAAGCGACAAGTATTTCCCACCTCTCGTTCCCACCACTGCAATTCCTGTGTAGCCAGGATCTACAGCTTGACCGCCACAAAAACCCAACCAATGAAGGTCAAGTTTGTCCCGGGGGAAAGTTAAACTGTCATTGGACCCGCAACGATATTAATCAGAAGAACATAGGAGGAGTTCGAAATTAAGGTTCGACTTCCCTCCATTGCAAAGCGGATGACAGGTGACAAACAAAGGTTTAAAACCTAAACCTTAAAGCGTCAAGTAGTGTTTCTAGACGAAGCCGCTCTTAACGGGCATCAGGGTATCTAGTCTCCGCTACAGGAGCACGACTCTCTTTAATTCACCAGATGCAAATGCAGAATTTGGCATACACTCCCCACGCTGGCCAAAGAAGATAGTATTAATTTTGTGTTAGTTAAGATCTGATGATTAAGTAAGTGACTTAAGGTGATGCCTTGCGAATATTGGGCGTTTTAAAGAAGCGCAGAATTAGTTTTAATCGTACTTTTCTTATTACATAAGTTCTTATTTTGAAATATGTCATAGTTGACTAATAAATCTAGTGTCTGGTCGAAGCCGAAACATGAATGGAAACAATTTTCTCGATAGAAAAAAAATCCAAAGATGAACCTTCTATTACTCGGTTTTTCGTTTTATAAGCAGATAGGCTAATATTTCAATACCAAATTTTGTATATTGGTAAGGTAATAACATATTCTAAGTACTGGTCGAGTTATTTTCTTTAAATAGTGTTTGGTTTTTCAATAAATACATGATTTACGATTTTTGTCGCTTACGTTATTTTATTCCGCGTCGCGCGCGCTATTGCTGTCCCTTTCCTCGCACTGAGAAATCATATTTCTATCCCTCTCTGTGCGAGGCATTCAGTCGGCCGAAAACTTTTACGAGGTAGCGCCTTAACCAAAAATGTTTCCTTCTAGCGAGCTAGCAGAGGCCTCTGCAGTCCCGGCAGCGCCAGCCCTATCGGCGCCGCCAGCGACCGGCGGCGACGAACCGGCGCCAAACGGCTCCGTCCGGCGCCGCGCCGCCGACACGCTGCCCATGGAGGTCACGTGACACCGCCGCCCGCCCGCGCCCGTGCCGGCCTGCTAGTGATGTGCGAGAGTCGATTGCCGATATCGATGAGATTCGTGTTGTGTAAAAAATTAAAAATCTTCAAAAAATGCGTCGATACTTCGTTATGTATATCTTTACTGGCTTTCGTGTGTCGATAGCGCCGTTGTCGATGGTTTATGTTGATGCATAGACAAAATCACGAATTAATGGCTTGTAATAATTCTTCTACCGATAAATGGCTGGTATCGGTAACTTTATAAAATCTTATGTACTTTTAAATTGCCGAATTTCGAAATATCAAAATACTTTTCCTATAATGTTGTATCAAAACTATAAATAGTGATGCTCACAGGCGCTATAGATAGTGTTGGCACGTGGCAATACTATCGATAGTAGCTTCTCACTCATATTGCCTCAATCATCGACAGTTTATCGACACGCAAACTATATCAGCGGCGACGGCAGCACTCGTATGGAGTTCTCAGTGCGATGGCCCGGCGGTGGCCTAATGGCCCGATAATGTGCTCTTGGACTATAGAAACTTCATCAATAGGCCTAATACAGGCCCCTGTAGGCCTTTCATACGGTGGGCCTGTCAGGCCCCATAGGCCAGGTCTGTGGATTAGCAAAAAAGTTCTGGTAGGCCTGATATATTTAGGCCTAAACGCTTTGGTGTTCTGGCAAGCCTGATAAAACGATTGAGGCAGTGATAGTCATTTAACAACTTAATATCCAATTCAATAGCTAATTAATAATGTATTCGTAGCCTGAATGTGTTTTATGAGGCAGAACAATCAAGGCCGCACTAGATTTCACAGGCTTGAAGAAAACAAGTGTAAGATATTACCCAAAATCGAGATAAAAGCATCTAGGCCTACACTATTGTAGGCCTGACAGTGAAGTGGCGTGGCCTGACGGGCCGCATAGACAATTATAGACACGATCAGTGACAGTGAAGTGTGAACGGCGCGGTGTTATAGTCGAATGACGCTGTGTGTGATTTTGAATTGCGTATAACAAATAATATGTATGATTTATTGCTCATATCTAGCAGTTAATTTATGGTTTGTTTAAATTCTTTTGTTTTGTTTCACCTTTTTAGCTAATTTTGTTATTTTTAGTTTTTTATTCTGTTAAAATTTTGCACAATTGACATTGATTTACCTTTTACAACCTATTTTCAACCTTTTTAGGGTTTCGTAGTCCTCACAAGGAACCCTTATTAGAACTTTTGTAGTCGCAGGCTTCTTAAAAAATCTCATTTATACTTATGAACTCTTGCAAACTTATAGTTAACAAAACAAATGTTTAAAAGTGTATTAATAGCAAAACAAAGTACCATATGAATGTTGTTTAGGTGGTCGCTCGCTCCTACTTATTTACCGACTTCAAAAAGGAGGAAATTCTCAGTTCGTTTTGTATCTTAGAAACTAACAGAAAAATAGTTGATATAGTAATCAAATATTCATGCCAAGGATAAGGAATTCTGATCTATAGTTTACACCAATGCAAAACTAACATAAATTCATCATTTCAAAAATTGTAAATTTCTAGCATTTTGCTTGATCCTTCCATACAAAGTTTTAACGTTTTATTACTTGATTCAACTTATTTATTATTTTGTTTAGGTCTATTCAGGATTAGTAGAATGTCATCAAAATATTGTATTTCCTAAATAATTATGTTGTCTAACCAAAAAACTACCTTACTAACATTCGTTTTGAGTTTTGTTTCGATTGATATTTATTTCATGTAAAATTTTTAACTGCGAAGTATAAGTAATTCAAAATCAGACGTTCAGCATCTGTTTAGGTTTATTTTACATCAATGTATGTATTAAAATAGAAAGGAATTATTTTCTTTAATGCAAATTGTGATATTAAAGAACTTGAAAACCATACGATTTTACTTTTAATTTTTTATCATATTTATTTCCTTTCTCCGTCCGCCATTTTGTATTACAACAGGTAACAAAATGGCGGACTTCCGGTAACACCGCGCCAAAAAATATAAAATGGACGATTTAATCACGCTCGGATTTATTTTAGTATATCCGCCATCTTATTCGCGGCTTATATTAATGTTTTAATTTAAAGAAAATGAAGTTACAAGGAATTACTGTAAGCTATGTTTTATTGTAGTATTTAGATTTTAAAACGAATTCTATTGGGGCCGGAATAACAGCTCTCTTTCGCATTACACATATGTTTTTTTTTCAATATTTTTTTTAATTCTATACCGAAAATTGTACACCTGTTACAATAATTTTAAATTAACAAAAAAAATAAGTGAAAAGTGTAAAAAACACGAGCGAATTAAAACAGCTTTTTTAATATCAATATCCTATCATATTGCAAAATTCATATAAATTATGTTTACAAGTAACATATTCCGACGCCCTGAAAATACTATATTATAGTGTGTTCCAAACAATTTTTATAAAATGTATAGAGTAGGCGATATACATTCGAGTATAGTTCTTACACAATCACTATTATAATACCAGAGTAAATACAAATGAGTAGGTCATCTTCATAGAAACGCACCGAGCACGGTTTGTATGTGAGCGCGCCAATATGTATGCGGCGCGCACGCACACACTGACAAAATTTAGCGGGAATTAGCGGGGAGTTGCGCCGTTTCTATGAAGATGACCTACTCATTTGTATTTACTCTGATAGTAGTAATAGTACACCCAACTCACAAAATAGACTATTTGACACTAAGTATTCCCTAATAATTCGAAATCACACCTTTTAAAAAGACGCTTCATTCTGGTCTTAAAAACTTAATTGATTTTAAATTGTAAATTAAGATTTTTGGTTGCATTGTAATTGAAAAAAGTTGTTTGAGTTGACAAAACAGTGACGTCACTTGCTTGTATTGCCATACAAAATCTATGGAAGTCTCATTTTGACAGTTTTAAAAAGTACGTCAATTGATTGGTGGTGTCAACAAGTCTATTTTCACTTTCATTATAACAAGACTAGCAAGCTGTGCCCGCGACTTCGTACGCGTGAAAATTATATTTCCCATTTTTGCAACATTTTTCTTTACTGCTCCGCCCCTATTGGCTGTAGGGTGATGTTATATAGCCTAAAGCCTTCCTCGATAAATGAGCTATCCAACTCAAATATTTTTCAAATCGAACCAGTAGATCCTGAGATTAGCGCGTTCAAGCAAACTCTTCAGCTTTACAATATTAGTATTGATAAAAATTGGAAGACCAAAACCGTGTTTTTAAATCAAAAAGTATCAATTTATAAAATTTACTCCTTTTAGAACGTGTTTTTTTACTATAACCACAAATAAAAACCATAAACCATGGCACTAATATTCAATATCACATTTTATCGATATGGTTTGGAGCCTTCTATAGTATAATAAAGCGCTTTCACAATATTGCGTTAGAGCGCGACAGCAGCGGCGTTTTTATAATGTAAAGGCATGCATCCGCTGTCACATAATATGAAATTTTCGGCAGCGCGTTTGTCACGCTGCTAAGTCGCCTTGTGAAAGCGCTCTAACCACGCTTCATTGAAAGTTAATTTTAGTGGCTGTGACATAGGTAAATGATTTAACCTTAAGAATGCCAGACTTTAATATTACAACTCGAGTAACATCCACAAATAGGCCATTATACAGGATGTTAGGTAAATGGGTATATGAGCCGACACTAGCCCATGTTAACATGGTCATATAAATGATATGGTGAAGTCAGAAAATTGATATCTTCATTTTAATTATTTTAATTTCCATACAAATCGGATTTTATAAAATTTATTTTGGATTTTATAACCATTTACCTAACACCCTGTAGTTCTAACGCTTAACTCAGTGAGTGCCTGAGGTATGGAAGCGGCGCGGGAGGGTGTTTTTGTGACGTCAATCGTCAACAAGACTAGATTTGTACAGAGTAAATACAAATGAGTAGGTCATCTTCATAGAAACGCACCGAGCGCGGTTTGTATGTGAGCGCGCCAATATACGTATGCTCCCCGCAAAATTTTGTCAGTGTGTGCGTGCGCGCCGCATACGTATTGGCGCGCTCACATACAAACCGCGCCCGTGCGTTTCTATGAAGATGACCTACTCATTTGTATTTACTCTGATTTGTATGCTCTGTTACGTCATAATCAATGTCAGCCCTCCCGTGCCGCTTCCATACCTCAGGCACTGACTGAGTTTGCTAGACCTATACTACAAAATGTCTCCGATGCATTTTGGACTTAAGTACTTTGGAATAAGGTTCAAGATCGATTGGGGGAATCTTACTAAAGCCTGGTCCGTGAGCACGTACAATTTTGTCCAATGACCCCCAACTACCCATACTTATCGCGACTGTGCGACGGGCACCCGCAGTGAGTGTGCGAGCGCGACAGCAACATAATTACACGCGAGCGATAAGGATGGGTAGCTTGGGGTCATTGGACAAAATTCTACGTGCTCACGGTCCAGGCTTTAGTGTAAAACACAGTTTATTAATCAAGCTATCACAATGATTTTCTCCAATGGATTTTGAACTTAGTACTTTGGGTTTAGAGTTTAAAATGGGTTGGCAGGTGTGTTATCGTTAATAATTTAACCGTTACAAAACGGCAAGAAATGTTTAAGCAAGCCAGCCAAAGGCACAACTGTACTTGCTGGTTGCTTGCACATCTTTATGCTGTAGCATCTTATGATAGTTGTAATAAGGGTGATTTTACAATAAAATGTATCGTTTGATGTACTGTCGCCTACATATAAACGTTCCCGCAGACTACAGAATTTTAGTCGGCCGACAGTTTGGTCGTCTTCCAATTTACAGTCATGAGCAATCGGCCGATACCAAAGAGATATAGAGAGAAGTCATCTATCTAATGCGCTGAGTTTGAAACTCAGTGGCGCATTAGAAATTCACACACACAAAGTGCTCATTATCCACTGCAGTACCAGTACTCAACGTTCGAATAATCTTTAATACTACGCAAGCAATGTAAACTGTTTACATTATGACGTCGCTGCGTCATCATTGCTTTCACGAGCAATGTTTTCTGTTTTTGGGCATATTGCTGCGACACCGGCCACGCCCCCTTGTCACATCTCCCTTTAGTTTAAGTGATCTGTGACCGATACCAAATCGGTGTAATTTGCGCACTTCTATACATGACAATACTGATTAACAGCCCGACTAAACTATCGGCCGACAAAAAGTCTGCGGTCTGTGTATGTGTTATTGTGACAAGATATACACGTTATACTTACTGCTATATATTTTATGACAGTCGAATTTAAGCAGTTAGTTTTATGTGTATATCTTGACAATACATAGCGTACGACAGCAGAAAAACGGCGGCTTGTCTCATACAATTGTGAATACACCTTAAGTCTGGCATTCTCACCCGGGTTCACCTTAGAAACATTCTTTAGTTTATATCTCATTGTAAGAAGCGTCGCCGAGTGTATTTAAATGTAATTACGAAATGTAAAGTTTAACCGTATCATGTGTATTATATTAGTTTATGTGTATATTGATTTATTTACTTAATTATTCTGGTTGCGATGGAAAAATCGACCTTATTGACTACTTGTCAAAGCGTGGTTTTCCTAAAATCGCATGCATAGTTATTAAAATTGGTGCATATTTTAAGAAATCATGCTTTGTTAAAGATTTTCTCCATCGCAAGTCAGATCTATCTGGCCGGACCAGTTGAATGTATAGTTTTAATTTAGGTATTTATATTTTTGCCCCTGGCACTATTGGCGTCTCGCTCGCACATTAAAGTGTGAAAGAGACGCCAACAGATCCAGGGGACGAAGATATTTAAAGAACTTAATTAAACAAACCCTACTAATT